AGCAATGGATCGAATGCTTAAGGCAGGTTGTGTTGACAAGCTGCCCCTCCAATCCATCCTGACCAATCTATGCCGTAGCTCTAATCAAGGATTGCGGGCTAGTAGAGGCATTCCCCGCCGTCCATAGATGGCGCCTACAACCACACAAACCAAATGTGTAGCCAGTTGGTATGTGCCGGGTGATTTGTCAGCGTGCCCTGCAGCAGTTGGGCTGAACTCTGTTCCGATTTGCATTGGCATCAATACTGAGTCCACTTGGTGAATGGTTTCTTCAAGGATAGCGTCCAGCACAGCAGTCAACAAGGCAAGGCTCTGTCGAAACACTGTTTTTACCATCAGCATGGACAATCTGCCGCATAAAATCGTGAACCTAGGACGGGAGAGAATGAACAAGCACACCAAGCGTGCAAGAAAAACCCTACTTCTTGGCCACTTGTTCATGTATTTGCTAAAAAAGGTTCGACACTGCTTCCACTTGTCAAAAGTGGTGTGCTGTTCTGAGGCGTCAGTGGAAAGCCTTTCACCTGCAGGCGCCTGCACTCCTTCGATCAATTTTGAAGCCATGAATTGCTTGCAATACTGCCCAAAACGAGCATCTCCTTTATAGCTCTTGGACCATCGGGCAACTTCGGACTCTGGGATGTCCCCATATCGAGCACCCCGTAGTGGTCCACCGCTAATGACAACCCTTCTCATCTTTTTGACCCATCCGGGCCCATCTTCGGCAGGCGTCACTGAGGATTTGGCCATGGCAGTCAAAGGGTGAGCTATCTAGGTAGACACTGTGATTGAGTTCGGTGTACAAAACCTTAGGAAACTGCAAGAAAAATGACCCTCGTCTTAACATGGTTGTGATCTTCTTGACCGACTTTTTCGTGAGGCGCTGGAGCAGTTGCTGCGACTTACCCACCTGAACGTAATGTTCCAGGGACTGAGCATTGGACCATCTCCCCATCAATCTCAGGCGCCCCACATCCATGTGTTCATCGTAGTAATAAGTGGCTCCCCCAGCCCGGAGTGAAGCAGGAGTAAACTTACATGAACCGCAGCCGAATCCTTCGGAAACTATCTTAAACAGTCTCCTAAACTCAGCATGGGAGTGAGGCCAAAGGAGTTGATCTGCTTTTAAGTCCTTACAGCACCATACGATCCAGTTACAAATGTCTGGGTGTGACACTGAAGCAAACTGGCATGTCCCGAGCTGCCGAAAATTTTTTGGCTTTGTGATGCTGACTGTGATCGACGGGAGGGCAAAAATCAAACTGTTGGGCAAATCCAAGTGTCTTCTCTGCAACGAAAGCAGTTCACCGGGACGCAACAGTCCAAAGAAACCCAACCCTAGCAGGGCGCACTTCAGCCATTTCTGACCACTAGCTGTGTCCAGACCTACTTCAACAGATTTCATCCGTGACATACACGAAAAAACTATCAGCAGGGGCAAAGGCAAAGGCGCTCGCATTCCGGAAGGAACACACTCCTCCCAGGCTTTGACCGTGTCCCAACTGCTTCTCAAGCGATGTCTCAAGTCAGGACGATTGATCTGAACAAAGAGCAGTGCATGTTTGACCAGTCTCAGATTGCTACCTTTCCGGTTTTCTTGGTGGCACTTCCCGACAAAAGTTTCTAACACTCGATCGATCTGTTCCGGTTTTCGATGTAGCAAGTGATCAAAGGAGCTGTCTTCCGACTGCAAAAACTTTCTCAGATGCTTTCCTCCAGCCACGAGCCTACCTTTATAGGCTTGGCTATATTTGCTTAGCCGCAACTTCGAACCCTCCATGGCATCGCTACGAGTGCGTACAAAAAACTTCCTGCATATTTTAATGGATTGGCTATGACTGCTAAAAAACTAGGTTGATTTGAATGGAGTGTATGCTTTACGTGTCAAACAGCTTCAAGCACATGCGGTAGTAGCGCTCACACAACGCTTGGGGATAGGCGCCTGCAAGAACTGACCGTCTCTGCCATCCTCCTTTTGTTTTTACGCTACCAATCACTTGAACATGCTTGTGCTTCTGGCAGCATGTCTTGTGGAGAGACATCAAATCAGGTACGGTCCCTGCAAAGCTGGTTGACTTTCGGGCTGGCAGATGCTTGCCGTTGTCATCTGGAATGCGCAACCCATATTCACACTGGTCCAAGTTTACCTTAGTACCTTTACATTCGGAGAGCAGTTCAACCAGTCTCGGCATATACCAAGCGTATGAGCTTTTGGGGTTTTCGATTGTGAAGAAAGAACCGTGTTCATGTAGTAACCGACAGAGATGGCATGTTCGCAACAAGATCAAGTTACCTTTTCTCTCGCGTTCAAGACCCCCATCACCTTCTGGTTTGTCTTTACTACGTGTCCCTTGATTCAAACCCTGTAGAATCGAAAAGCTTCCGCAAGGCATCCCAAAGTGCCAAATTTGTTTTGGTTTTTTGGCATCTTGACAAAGCTGTGCATACGTTTTAGGGTTAAGAATGTCATGTTCTTCACACGGCTTACCTCGCTGGATCAACTCAAGGGGCTCGTCCACAGGTAACAAACCGCGGCGCTTGAACGTCCGCGTCAGCTCACCTTTCCCCGCAAAGATCTCACGGAATGTCCAGCTCTTCAACGCAGGATGCTTTCGCGTTCCTGCTTCTGCACCCGGCACTTTGGATTCACATATGGCCTTTTCGGACGGATCTAGCCTCGCAATTTTGGCTCTTCGGTTTATTTCACGGTTAGATCTGCGTACCTGCAAAGCTGCTCGTTCAGGCTCACTCATGAATCCAAGTTGCGCCGTCAAAACTGGATCATTTTTTGCTGGTGGAGGTATTGGAACGCCACGGGATGGATGATCAGCTGGATTACTCTTGGTTCCTACCCATACCAAATG